TTTTTTTTTTTTTTTTTTTTTTTTTTTTTTTTTTTTGCTCTAAAAAAAGTTGAGTCTTAATCTGTTGTAATCTAAATGAAGAGTCTTGCACGATTTTCTTCTACTGCAGAGTTGAACGCGTTTTGCTTTGGATTACTTCTTAAAACTAGTAAAATATGGGAGATATGGATGGCGTCAATTTAAAGCAAAACCCAAATTTTGTTTTCAACGCATTGTGTAAACACGTTTGGGATTAGAATCTTCCGTTCTTAAGATTTTCGTGTTGAAAGACTACATCAAAACTATAGAGTTCATTGTTGAGAAGGATTAAGATGCCTTAAATTTGCATTGCTAACTACAGTTTCTGCATTAATTGTAGTTGCTGGAACTTCCTCTCGTCCACGCACGTTTAGACAGGTTCTCTCTCTCTCTCTCTCTCTCTGTTTCTCAAGATTCAAGACACGCACACACGAAGTTCCCACTACCATTCTCATCTTCCAACAATATAATCTCCAAAGAAGCTTTTAAGCCAAGATATGATCTGCATGTGTCCTATAATACGGCAGTTGTTTTATCCAATTGAGGATGGATAATACACTGTTGTGTTACAATTTTTACTTCAGTAACCGAGCTGCTTCATCAACTGCATGGTCTTGTTCTTACTATTTTACTCATTTTTGTGCACATGAGGTATTCAATATAGTATTGTAGGTAGAAGCTGAACACAAGGAGGAAGAAAATGAGGAAGGATCTGAACAAGAATCTGGGGATGAATCTGATGATCAGGGAGACCAGCCTAGAGTTTGTATTCAGTCACTTATTTATTTATTTTTTTTTTGTCTTAATCTCCAAGCCTAAATTTCTATATCTTTTGCTGTTTTTTATTTTAGCTGAGCGGAACTAAATCACTTTTATTTTGTTGTCAAATTCTGCCAGAGGAAAGGCACTCAAGGTATTATTGAGATTGAAAATCCTAACTTGGTAAAGCCAAAAACCTTGAAAGCTAGAGATATTGATGTAAGTTTTATAATCATCCTCGCATATGGTTTTGCAATTTGAACATTATTATACAGTAGTTGTGTAATTTCACTTCATTTTGCAGATTGGGAAAACAACTGAACTTTCAAGGCGTGAAAGGTTGTTACAAGTATATTTTCATTGTTGTAAAGAATATCTAATACGTACTTAAATTTCTATGATTCTTATTCTGGAAACAAATCTGGCAATGTTATAGGTATGGACATCACTTATAAAATTTTGTTTTCTTTGCTTTCCCAGAGAGGAGATAGAAAAACAAAAGGCTCATGAGCGATACATGAGGCTTCAAGAACAAGGGAAAACTGAACAAGCTAAGAAGGATTTAGGTAAGTTTTCTTCAATGATCAGTTCTTTGGTTTAAGTATGTGTTCTATTTTCTGAGGATAGAATCCTTTTTATTTTCGATCTGTCATCCGAGATAATAATGTTCCTTTTCTTTTTATTCTTTCCCCGAGTTAAATGGGAAAAACATAGAGGAATGCTCAAAATGATCTCCTGCAGCTACACTTCGATTATATTCACTATTATGTGCCCTGCATCTCTAAAATTTTATAAATTTAGTTCAAAATGTACTTTGATAGTATCATGGGGAGCCAATGCCAAGTCCTGGAACAACTATTATTTGCCAGAGTGTTCTGAACAAATTTGAAGGCAGGACATTGATTAGAGTGTCTGATATTGAAATTTTATTTCACTGTATGCTATGCAGAACGTTTGACTCTTATTCGTCAACAAAGGGCAGAAGCTGCTAAAAAGAGAGAAGAAGAAAAGGCTGGTAATATATACAACAAAGCACCGTAGTTTGTATAGTTATATTTCCCCGTAAGACCTGACTTATTGAAACTGACACTCTCCCTCACTTTCAGCCAAAGAACAGAAGAAAGCAGAAGCTCGCAAATGAGCTCCAGGAACCATTCGAGCTCCTCTTCTCACTGGGAGGAGCAATATGTAATATCTACAACTTTACTTTCTAGTTTGCGTAGACTGATATTGTTGTTCGATGTCTGTGACCGTGCAACCAAGTATTATTCTCCTCTTTGGCACAGAAGTGACCGTAATACTATGTCATTTTTCATTTATGCAAAGAATACTTCTGATGATATCTTCCTCAGTATAAGAAGTTCCATTCAATGTGACTTCAATATTAGGTTCACCTTTATTCTCTATGCCTTTCTTATCACTTTGGAATATTTTTCCTTCTTCTTCTTTAAATATTGGTCTCGAATGCTCTGCTGATATGATTTGGTCAAATATATCTGTGCATATCAAGAATAAATGGGTTTTTGTCTATTTGTTTGTGGTTGGGATATCCATTGCTAGGCACCTTTTTAATACCTTCTGCTTCTTCACGCAACTCGGGGGAAACGGACGTTTTTGTGGAAAATTCAAATCTCGAACCTATTGGTCAATGATCTATGAATTGATGATTTTTTTTTTCTTACAAAGTTTTCCAAAAATGATAAATTTTTTTTTTAATTTTTTATCTTGAATTGGTTTAAGTTCTATTAATTTTTATTCTGAAATTTTAATATATTTCTAAACTTAGACGTATATTGTTATTTTTATTTGGTTCAATTTTCTCTAAATTCCTCCTAAATTTTAACCAAAAAAAAATAATAATTCAAATCTCTCAAAAATCATTGATTTCAACACAAGCTCAGCATTTACTAAAATTAAATTGGAATTTACACAAAATTAAGAATTGAATAAACAAATTTCATTGAAGCTCCATTAATTTTGAATTAAATATAGATTTTTTAAATGACAGTATATTGTGACTTTGAAAATAAAAATAAAAATAGTTATTTAAAGTCTTAATCAAAATTTAAAATACATTTGGACGAAATTAAGAGTTCATTTGTCAAAAAATGAAAAAAAGTTTTAAGTTTAGGGTTAAATTGGGATTTTGTCCGGTAAATTAAGCGCCACCCGGCCGTACATGGGAAAGCCGGAAAAAGGAGAGCGAGTTCGACGATTTTGTCGATGCTGAAGCTGAAGGATTGATAGCTGAGGATAGAGAAGTGTTTTTTTGCCGGGAAATTCCTGCGCGCCATCATGACGGACTCCAACCCTCCATCTGGGAATCCTTCTTCTTCTCAACTTAAAACTATGAATGAAATCAGTAGCGGTGGCCCCAAGGCCGAATCCACAGGCCAAAGAGTCCGGTTTCCGAACCCACCGGAGATCCACAATCCCGACCCTGCTACGCTTCGAGATCAATGGAGGTTTGCCATTAGACAGTACAGTAAATGGTACTCACACGCTTGGGGGACTGCTATACTTGCTGGGATCTCCTTCTTCGCTCTTGGTTGGGTTATTAAGGGTTCCAATCCTCTGCCCTCTCGCCAGGACGATTCGAATTCGCCTGCCTCCTCCGCTTCCAATACTGCACGTGAAGCTCGTCCTTGACCTTTTGCCTTTGGATTTAGGTGTGTGTTGTCTTTCATTCGCATTAACGCCTTTATCGAATTCTTGATGATGGGTTTTCTAATAATCCTTTATTGATATCATTTGATTGCTAAGAACGAATTTTGGAGCTTGTGAGTGAGAACGGGCTTTCTCATTCATGCTCCGAGATCCTTGAAATGGTTTCACGTACTCTGGCAATGCCAATTGGTATAAGGTTTGATTGTGAAGGAGGTCTGGTGCTGAAGCATGATTGGTAACCAGTGGGTGCTTTTCTGTGAATGGAAATTTCTGTATGCGTAGCTTCCATCACTATATTTACAGAATTTTCTCAACTTATAGCCAAAGCCAAGTTTCTTCATCGAGTTCAGGATACATTTATAAACAATCATAACACGATATGAGGAATTCTTCCCTTTATAATATCTCTGTCAGTTTATTTCCGGCAGATCAATACAAATGAGGTTATTCAAATAAGTAACTATTTCCTTTATACCTTACCAACTGGAGTGTTTGTGTAGGCAGAAATGTGGAACGTGCCTGCCATTTATTCAGACACTAGATGTTGTGATGAGAATTTCTTTTTGACCTTTTGGACCTTTGCTATGTTCGGCCAAGTAACTTACCAAATAGATTTCTTTTCTCCCCAAATGTGGAATGGCAAGAAGTTTAAGGACAAGAGGAAGGTTCTCTGGATAAGTGGTCGTTGTTCCATTCAGATGAGGAGTCTGAGTAGAAAGTAGCAAAATAATTTCCAAAAGTGTGGTATGAAGTCTTCTAGGGGAGATGTTTGAGACTTTGATATCTTTGTGGCTTCCTATATCTTTGATCATAACTAATTAGAGAAACTTTTATAGCTACATGGATTTTATAGGCTGTTTTGTGCTTTTGTATTTCTGTATATTTCTTTTGAAATTTATCAATGAAGCTGGTTTCTTATGAAAAGACATAGCTCGCAGTAAGTACTGTGAGATGAGATTTTTATTAGGTCTCTCTGAGCGATGCATCTGACTTAATTTATTTGGTGATCAGTACAATCCATGAATTTAGAAAATCTCTAGAAGCTGTTTTGTTTAATGGTAGCTCCCGTCTTTAATTTCCTGTGAAATTAGCCACTTCTGGATATTGTGTTTCATGCACCGAAATTCATGGACTTTGATGAATATTGCTGCTTAATTGTCATCTGATTTTGATGCACATTCATTGAAGAACTCAAGGAATAACTTTGTTGATTGGAGTTGGAGAACTATGAATAATTGCTTTCATTGTGCCTTCCAGAAGAATAAACCATCTTCGCACACTGCCACTGCTGTGGTGGACCGTGCTGGGAGTCCAGACGCTGTTACTCTTCAGAAAGAGTTGATACTGGATGGAGAAATCACCCTTTCTGCAAATATTGTGCATTCTGCTTCCGTTTCTCTTAGTTTTGATATTACCATTTTGTAAAGTTGACCTTTTTCACACACGGTTTCATAGCGAGTGTAAAATTTATGGTATATTGTCACTTGTTGTCTGAGTTAATTTATACATGTCGACCTATTAGCCGACGTATCAGAGGTTTATACTACACGACATCCAAGTGACTCGTTTGTTTTCTTAGGCAAGGCTGCTGGGTATCACTTCAATCTCAAGTTTTTCCTACTCAGGACTTGATAAAACTGACTAAGAACTTAAGACCTCAATAGCTAAGGTTTCTAAAATGGAGTTGTTCCTTGTTCAGCAAAATCAGCTGCAACTTCGATTGTTGCACACGGAAGGTGACGAAGGTCTGCCTGGTTGTGAATGCGCATCATCACAGTAGCGCAATTACACAGTTGTTGGTAATCTTCATTAGCGAGCTCCATAGGCTCACTCAGAGCGTAGCTACCTGGGATGCCAACCGGTGGCAAATGATAGATTTTTAGCCTTTGAAATGTAAAAGGTTTCAATTTACTGGTTTGAGATGGGATAATAGGGAAGTAAGTAGGTTCATTCATTCACTCACTTGGTTATGTACTTTTCTAGTTTCACCTCAACTTTAGCTACACTTGGTAGCATTAAGCGAACCTTGAGCCAGTAGAGGTTCAATCACTTGATTTTTTTCGTTTTCAAATCTCCCCTCGGTGCTGTCGTGGGCATAGGATATTAGCTGGATATTTCTTTAGTTATCACTTGGAACACCTGCTCCTCAATGACTCGAATCACAAGAGTTACTATTGACAAGGATAATTTGCTTTGAAAACCAACCATAAAACACAACATTCTCGGACATGATAAGTAAAACATGTGAATCATGTTATTTACACTCAAAGTAACCCGTTTAAATTCTTAACAACAAAAGCACATGTACATAAAAGGAAAATGTTTCCAGTCTCTAGTCTATTCTCACCTCCACCTCCTGTGTCTAGAAAGAAAAGTTAACATAATTTCGATGAGTAATTAATTTATTCCAAAAGTAGTTAACTTTTCTTTTAACATATCTTATGAATGGTGCATAAGATATAAAGAATTATGGTTATCACTTGAGTGTAACATCCCAAGAAAAGAAAGAGAAAAAAAGAGAGATTCTAAAAATATGGGATGATAATATTAGAAATGGAAGCAGAAAAGTTATGGGAGTGAGAGAAATAGTCAAAAAAAACACTGTGGGTCCAACTAAAAGATCATAATTCACATCATATCTGTACAAAATTTGAAGTTATGAAGAAAGGCAGAAGCAGAAACAGAAACAGAAACAGAATCGAAGAGATAAGAGGGAAGACGACAAAGCGAAGAGAAAGGAAAGGGGTCCAAAGTTGCAGCAAAATGTGGCAGAATATGGAAGAACAATCCAATGAACACGACTGTTCTACTGCCAAAATCCAAATCCCAAATCCAAATAATACTCATTTCATCTGGATGACCTCTCTCTCTCTCTCTACTCTTCCATCCTAAACTAAACCAAACCCAACCCAACCCACCAAAAAGTTCCCTTTTTTCTTTGTTTTTTTCTAGTCACACAAACCCCAGAAAGTTGCAGACTTGCTGCAGCAGTATAGTATTGAGGTGCAGCTGGTGGAGAAGAGGGATATGGTACGGGGCATCATAATAATGATGATGATCAAAGGTGATGGGTTCATTCCTAAAAGGTATAAAAAAGAAGAGAAAGAGAGAGAGAGAGAGGGGGGGTTTGTGTTATATCAAAATCAGTCAGTCAAATATCCAATCTCACTGTTGGAAGGTGTGTGCACGTAACAAATGTTCGAAATGAAACCCTGTGGGTAATATGTGTCGTCCAACTGTTGGTTCAAATCAGCACCAGACAAAAACACTGTTCTTTTTTCTTTTTATTATTCTTCGTCTTCTTCTTCCTCTTCTTCTCCCGTTTCTTCGAAACATCAATTCCTTTCCCTTTCAAGACACTTCCTCTGATTCTCTGCCCCTATCTTCATTCCCTCTCTTTTCTTTTCAACTCAATCCCTAAGCCCCTCATATCCACTCCCACATATTCCCCTCATATCCCTTCTCTTTTCTCTTCTACCGCAATACAACTTTGGGTTTCATGTGCAATCTATGGTGTATCTAAGGTTAATGTATAAATGAATGAAATTGAAGATTGAAGATCAAAATAGGCAAGGCCAAAACTTGACCTTAGTAGATGCTTAAACTTGACCTTATTACACTGTTTCATTAGCAAGAGAGAGCTTGTTAGAGACTTGCTTTTTGATCCACAGTATAAGCTCATACACTGGTTATTGATGCTAGGTGGATACAAGAATATCCTTTGGGGGAAACAAGCAAGAAAGCAAAAGTTATGAATTTGATAGAAAAGGCTCAGTAATTACAGCGGTTACTAAGAGAAGATAGTGGTTGAAAGTTTAAGAAGAGGTGAACCAAAAAAGTAAGGGAAGTACAAAGCCATTTGTTTTGACCACAAACAAAGTTGGCAATTTGAACAGAAATTGGGCTGGTTTATGTTTGATTTGAAACCCAAACTGCAAAGCTATAAAGAAGCAAAACAACCCTAAAAAGCTGGCGGAGTTTATGATCAATGATATCATCAAATTTGGGTCTCTTCATTTCTCATGAAACAACACATAGATCTAATAACAGGTCCATTCAAACCAAATATTCAAATTACATTGCCTCATATAGATATGATAACAGCTCTCACAAACACTCAAATTCAAACCCTAAGCTAATCATACACCACAGCTACGTTCTTCCATTCCCTGCTGGTTCCTCCTCCACTTTCAAATCTTCTTTATATCTGCAAATACGAACACAATATCAAAACAAGAAAGGTATAGAAGAAAGGCAAGAGAGGCATATGATGGAACTAACAAGATAATAAGAGGCGCCATGTTGGAGTGAGTGGAGAGTGAGGCCCCATTCATTAGTGAGAACAGGCTGACCAGAGGAGTGAAGCAGAACAGCTTCATCACCAAAAGCCTCCCGGACATTGAACGCACCAGAACCCACCTCGAACGCCACACCATTGATGAACACTGTTGACTTCCCTACACAGCTTTGACCTAATCCATAAACTTCACCTACACCTGCAAACACACGATCACTCCTTCTCTTCTTTTTTTAAAAAAGAAATATTTTTTTAGTGTAGGTCAAGGGTGCCTCAAACCCATGCACACGTCCATCCAACACCACACTCATCATAACCCTATTTGTTCATATATCATAAATTTCAATCAAGTTTTCATTTTTATTTACTTTTTTAAACCCCTTTTTGCTTTACGTTTCAACCCATTTCACAAAATCCTTCCTTCTAAGAGATAAACCAAAAAGGAGAGTTACCCAAAAGTCATGCAACCATAATTGACTTAAAACTGGTTACTTTAATAACTTTACCTTGATGAATTGTATGGGAAGGAGGTGGGAGAGTGGTGAGGGCGGTGGAAATAGTGGTTGGTGGAAGAATGTTATCAGTGGAGGGAGTGAAAACAGGATGATAATTCATGAATGGAGGCGGCAACTTCACCGTGATCTTGTCCTCATCCAAATCTTTTTTTGAAGCCTCAGTTGGGTTCATAATCTCACTCAGCAACAGGCTTGTGCAAGGCCCAACAACCCCATCTTCAGGCACTTGCTGCACTACACTACAAAGCTCCGACAAGCAAAACCCTTGACTCAAATTAGAGCTTCCACCGCTGCCACCGCCGCCGGTCTGTGACACCGGGAAGAAAAAGGGTTCAGGCATGAGCTCGTTGGTGAGTTGTGGAAGGTAGTTCTGGGTCATTGAATTGGAGCTAAAAGTTTTGATGGGTGCTGATATTGGAGAAGATTTGTCGGAAGAAGAAGAGGAAGAACAAGTTGTGGCGGCGGCGGCGGCGGTGGTGATGGTGGCAGTGGCGATGGGAGGAATAGGAGATGGTAAAGGAGCAGTGGTGGTTTGGGAATTGTGATTATTATTAGATTTGGAGTTTTGGATATGGCGGAGTTTGCTTTTGCTTCTTGATTTTCTGTTTTGAAACCAATAAAAAACATTAGCATCACCCACTTGTCCATACTCCTGCAATTGAGCTCTAATTTTTCTAATTTCATCTCTTGGAGGATTCACCATCCCGGAATTGAAAATTGCTTCAAGAATCCGAATTTGTTCTGGTTTTGGATTCCATCTTGGTTTTGGCTCTGGACTCCTCTCTTCACACCCACCAACTGTAGACAAAAAAACACACACACAAATCAATCAAATTCTAAAACATATGAACAAATACAACACAAAATGGACCAACAAGAAGAAGAACCTGTAGCATAAGGAGCAGATCTGAGGCAAGTGGCAGTGGAAGAAGAGAGATTTGGGTTGATGTCATGCTGCCATTGGTGGTGAGAATTGCAGGGCTTGGACTTGAACATGCTAGGCCAGTGTCTGTTTGAGGAAGCCATGAGGATAAAGGAAT